GTTGCACCCATTCAATAATTCGTGGATGTGCGACATGTCTCAGAATATCCAAACGCGTTTTGCCTATATTTCGTTATTTGGCATGTCCATACTTGGTCCAAACCATCTGGCATCGCGCGTGACCTCGTGAAGGATTTTACAGGTACATTGAGGCCCTAGCTAACTAGGAGTAGTATATTCTATTCAGGTATGCGGTTGCAAAGGATGAGTGCGCTTTCCGTGCCTACGTATCTATTTATGCCATCGTGTGCTGAAATCATCCATTCAGGATGTAATGAGAGTATACCGAAGGGCTGTATCTGAGTCAAAGGTTATAATACAGCTATTGGAACTTCAAAGGCAGTTGCTCTGGCAAGAGCACGTTGATCAGGGTATATCGAGATGATAATCATGATGGGAGTAAAGAGTAAATACTCTGCCGCGATGGCTAGCATTGAATGAATGCTGTAGAATAAGTAATAGTACTGTCTACTAAGACCGTCGTGGGAGCACATAGAGGAAAAGCATTTGTAAGTAGATCCTTGCTCCCAAGTTTCTCAGTTAATCACATTACTGAGTGTTTTGTATACCTATGGACACATATTTCTTTGATGTTTGGCCGCGCAGGTATTTATCAAGTATTAACGAAGTATTACTGAGGATACTTCAAACACTTATTAGTATTGTTTGGTTCACAGTCAATTAGGGCGTTAGTGTTCAGATCGTGTGTTCCTGAGGACTTGCTCAAATCGCTGCAGCAGTTGACAAGTGGTCCAACTTTCGTCAGCAGATCATGATGATGAAGGTGGATAGCAAAATGTAATTTGGATATGGGAAATCGTCAGCACTCAGTCAGCCCTGGTAACAACAGCAAAACACTGTCAATCAATGTTGAATCAGAATAGAATCTATGAAGAGATGGACAATCTTTCAGGTACTGAATGGATCCCGTGTGTTAATTAACAGCTACCGGGTTGCGCTTGGCACGACATATTCCAAGATCTTTACACTTTAGTCCTGGTGATTTCTGATCATGCTTCACGAGTTTGCAGCAACCTAGGAATTTACGTGCATCTTTCAAGCTGTTGTATCATATCTTTGCTTCGTGAGAGACGTTGGAATAGTATCTGTAGCTAGCAGACAGGATAGATAAATTAAATTTGACCCGCCCTGACTTTATTTTGGCTTCAGGCAGATGCGTCAAAGTGTGTATTTCCAGAGACAAAGCTGTTAAAAATTTTTTGCACTAAACTTATCATTTCTGTGGGATGTCGAGAAGAAGAGACCAGGGTGGTATAAAAGGCATGGCCTCCACCTTTACAATCCAGTAGTAGCTTCCCAATCAAGTTGCACCCAATACTCCGTCTAACAATATGTTCTTTGCTCGTTTCTCTGCTCTCTTTGTCCTGTTTGCTTCTTTTGGCATTGTTGCCTCTATCCCATCCACTGCTCCGGTCGGGATAGCCAAGCGCCAAGAGTCGGCTCTTGATATTTTCACCACGTTGAAGAACTCTACAGACATAATCTTGCCTCAGATCAGTGAGTGATTTGAACGTAAATCTCCGTTCAAGATAAATCGTTGATTGCCCAACCCTTTTAGCTGCTCTTGTGAAGGCGGGAAACGCCACTGAGCCTAACCTCACCCCTCTCATTAGCAGCTTGAGGACCGCGCTCCAGAATACCACCTCCGCGATATCCTCTTCGGCGCCCCCGAGTAGTAATTCTGCTGCAAAACTTGCTGTTGAAATCTTGACTGTAAGTCAGTTCTGTATTTCCTTCACTAACAGCTGATCAAAGTTGCGTTGGTGGTAGGATATTGCTGACACCCTCGTTGCCCTCCCTGTTGACATAGCAAAGACCATAGCCCCCGGTCTTGCTGCTCTCCTTGGTGATATCGACAATGGTCTCGGTCAAGTCCTTAATGTAATCCAGGTTCTCAACCCGATTATCACGATAGTTCTTCAGGGGTAAGACGGTCTTTCCTTCCTTGTGAGATCTTCATACTAATCCATTTGTAGAATAACTGGTGTCATTAATTTTGTTAGTGGTCTAATACCTAACTAACGTTTCAATCCTGTTTTTATCAAATATCTCTCGACTTGGTACTTCGTTTCAAATTCCATTCAAGTGTTGGTGCATATAATGGGTGACTCAAAATTGAGCTCTGTGAAATGCAGCACAATTTCAACCTTGTACACTACTAGGTGGATTCCTGTCTTTCTTCCACCGATTCTCTATCCTTGAATTCCTACTACATCACCAAAATGTCCGAACCATTGCGATCAATTCCATTGGAGGCTTAGATAGCCTCGTAATGATGAGAGCACTGAAATAACAGGGTTATCACACCTTGTTATGGCAATGAGTTATTCTTAATGTAGGTATCATTTTTTCTGCTAGCTCATAACAGAGGCATAGAGAGAAACCAGGATGTTCCTGATGGTGTTGAGAGCCTTATTGCCAGTGGCGGGGTGTTGCAATCCCCGATTTACATCTCTCATTGGTAGCACTGCTACTGCGCTTGCATGGTGATTTTTTACCTAAAGTCAAGGCTCTGCTCTCCTCCATCACGGCAGGTCTTGACCTGTAAGTCCTTCCTTGTAAACCAGTCTTCCTGATTATTTTGTAGATCAACTGTTACTCGGAATAAAGCGTTGAAGTATGGTATCGATGCTGTTTTTTTGAGAAGGATAGCTGCTTTCATTTATTCAACTCCGACATCCGATGGGGGTCAGATTGTACGGTGAATACGAGTAGGGCGGAATGGGCAGGGAGGTATAAGTCGATGGTTTGGAGGTAGGTAGAGTGCGGAGGAAAGTAATTCGGGTGTAGGCTCTGTTGAAGGCGGAAGTGCGGTGGATTCGGGCTTAGCACGCGCAGTTACCCCTACAAACAGCAAGGCGATGAGTACAAATCCTAATGCATTAATGGAGGACGCTCTACTCACATCTTCTGGTACCCGCCAACCCCATCGACCTCATGAACACAAAATCATGAGACTCGACTGCCATGCATCCTCCCCGGCCGATCACCGCAGTGTGTATTTTCTCTGCACCATCCCAAGACGACCAATAACAGCTCTCCAAATTCTCTCAAACAACCAATCTCCGTCGTCGCACGGCGCATCTTCCTCTGGATCGTGACCACTTTCTCGTTGGACATGTACCTCGCGTCCGCGTCATGTTTTGGTGAGCCAGGCGAGACTAAGGTTTGAGTGGGCGTTCACGAAGGCATGAATAGATCAGGGCGGCGTCAGAGTAAAATGAGTGTGCAATCTTGAGTGCTTTGAGGTCGGATCTCGGCTTCGAGCGATGTCCCAGGTGAATTGGTGTTAGTGGCGCAGAAGGAGGGGAAGCAGACGTGGGTTTGATTTGGGTGTGAACGATGTCGATGAGTTGTAAGCTTAAGGACATGTGCTTGGCCTTCAGAGAATGTCGTTGTTGCCACTGTCGCGAGCGATTCCGGTCATTCCAGACCATCTATGAAAGACGATGGTGCATTAGCTACGAAATCTGAAAGCCCAGATTCATCAATTTTGGGTACTCACCAGGTAAGATAATCAATGACAAGGTTTGGCAGGCTTTGACTGCACTGCCAGTGGGCGGTCATATACAACAAGCAGCGTATCATCGATCATACAGACTCTTGCGAGCTGCTGTCGTTTCGGTTTCCAGAACGTAGCGTTGGACGGAAAGTTATGTAGGCAATAGTAGACATGGAAGACCAAGTTTGTGAGCCACGTCGTTATTCGCCCTACCCACGAGAGTCAATTCATAACCGCCCACAAATGCCGATGACCGAGGCCCGCGCCATTCTTCTTGTCCAAGTCTGTAGATCCTCGCCAGCTCCAGGGGCACAAATGTCTTCAAGCTTGAATGAGAATAACAAGTCAAGAAACAAAATGAAAGTAATGACTCGAACAAATAGACTAGCCCTCAATTGCCCATCACGCATCAGCGCTTAGCGCGCGGTACTATGTGGACGGTCGGGACAGTGATCAAGCCGGCGAGCAACGTCAAGTCAAGAACAAGCCAAGAGAGAAAAGACGCCTCGTTCGCGTCAGTACTACCAGGGACTGCGTACATCCTGTCAGCTGATGCGAATCCTGGGTTGGCGGTACAGCGATGACTAGCCCTTTTCTCGACGTCCAAGAGCTTGCGATCGCCGATGGCGTCACATTAGATGCCTAAAATTACTCTTTTCAGAGCTCGTTCCTCCTCTGAGCTTCAAGGCGATGCTCCTCACCTCTGATTCTGATCTTTTGCACCTTCTACTATAGCACACAATCGCTGAATAGCCACTGTTGCTACTACTCGTGTCCCCAGGCCGACTCGGGCTCGATTAAAACGAATCCTAGGTCCTAACAGGCACTGGTCATTGGCTCAATGATTTTGCTTACACCTCCCCGCTCTTCTTATCGAAGTTCGGCCACCTTCTCTATTTCAAACAACAGCAAAGAGCAGGCAAAGAGCGTCTCCTTCAGAAGCAAAGAAGATTCCTCTCAATATACTTATTCTACACAGTGAAAGCACTGCAAAGTTCACGTTGTCCTCAGCTTGGTTGGGCTTTGATGAAAAGCGTGCTTCTCCGGCCCTCGACGCGTCGCTAGTAGTCACCGCGTCGTACTATTGGCCTAAAAGAGGCTGCCCCAAGAAATCTTACACCGGTGTCACCGGCAACATCAACAAATATAAGGTAGCTTAAAGTGGAAATTAGGACTTTCAAGCGCTATGCAACCGAGTATACCATGACTCGGAAGCTTCCAAGAAATGTCGACTAACTGTACGTATCCCATCTCTCTATGTCTCTTGTAAACCACAAACATAATACATTGGATTGAAATTCTCCCCCAGTGATGGAATTCACCAGGAATTCACAGGTGTACACGATGGTCCGACACAGTGTGGACTATCAGAAGGAGCATAGGCCAGCTGGCCAGCAGCTGGGATACATAGGGCCCACTTCAACATGCACACCCGGTATCAAGGACACTGTTATCCTTTCGGTAATAGTATGTGAATGGGCATATGGTGTAGGGGTTATCACGTTCGCTTTGCATGAGATTTGAGGTCATTGTCCTGCGAAAGGTCTCCGGTTCAAATCCGGATTTGTCCACTACCATGTGGGAACATTTGATGTTGAATTTTCTATATTTTTTATGCACTATGTAGACGAACATAAAACTAAAAGAGTAAGTAAGAATAGTAAGGTCAAAGCGTGAAATACCAGTGATCGTACGAAGTACTACTTCAACACACTATTTATTCTCTATATGTCTAGATTCTAAGTACACTCAAAGTACCCTCAAATACTCAAGGATTTATGTTGTTCACCCACTCTACATTACATGGAGCTATGCAGTGGCATAGGCGCGTAATGCAAAACATATTTAATTGAGTATAATGTTTCCCATCAAGCCATATATATTACTAGTTCTTCAAGACACCGGCGCCCCAAAACACTTCCACAGACCATGCACAGCTAAGGTCCAGAGGTAGTATTACACTTTACTTAGAGGAAAAAATGTACAATTTGATATGGGTACTACTTCACTATTCATACGCTATGTACAAACTTGGCGCCATGAAAACTGGCTAACAAGTTCATGCCTACTCATAAGCCACAATCGTCCCGACTCTCCGTATTTGCTCAATGACTTGATCCTAGTCATAGCTTTTCTCGAATTCGCGCTCCGTATGGCAGCAGTAGTCCTTATATGCTATCACAATGGTACGGTGAATGACTGTTGACAACATATACATGTTTAGGATAGCTGTGGTAGTACCAGGGCTACTTACTGTGAGCTATGAATTCTTAAAAAACCTGGTAAATATGCTTACCTTGAGATGCTAGAGGGCCCATAGTCATCGCGTCACGAAAACAAGATAATGGAAAGGAAAGGATAGTAATCGGCACGGTCCCAATGAGGAACAGCTGGGGCCCACGCTACATACAATGTGTGCCGTGGATGTGAGAAGCCGAAGCCACGCCGTCGCACACAGCCAGCTAAACACATGTAGAGTACTGTAGAGTACCGTTGTAGAGGCACCCACATCGTCTGAGTAGTGAGATCACAAGTGTACTATATTGTCTACCATAGCAGTACTTAAACCTAGCTGCAAGGTCACACGTGCATCAAACAGTGGCTCTTCGCAGGCCAGAGAGATCTGGAGCCACCGCGTAGACATCGCTTTCCTGCTCTTCGAGTGTTCAGAACAGGTGTTAGAAACACGCGTATCTAAAGTTTGGAATAACTTATGATATGGTTGTGTAATGTTACAAGACTAAGAACGACCCTTTGGATAAACCAGCTTGCCCGCCTTGAACAAATAATCCTTCCCTCTCAACCCACGATCTGCATGGCGCAGGATCCCAGAATGTGGATCTATATCCCCTCTGATGTGGCATTCGAACGTGACGTCGTCAGCTTGTTCCTCCTTCGCATGCCGCCTCGCTTTTGGATCTACTTTCCAATGGAAACCCTCCTTGATTTTTATGTCGGGGTAAGCGCGCTCGAAAAGGTTCTTCACCTTTGTTGCCATGATAGCTCCCATCTCTTCTTCTGGCCGGTTCCCCTTCCTCAACGTTACTGGCGTCGTAAAGGTAAAAGCTATGAGTTCTCGTTCCTTCAATTTCTCCACAGACTTAGAGCTCGCTATATTCGCTTCTTCGCGATAACTTCCAGTCTCGCTTGAAGTGCTACGGGCCCGAGCACTGAGGCCATTGAAACCTAGACTGCGAGGCTCGAATGGGAGAATTGTCGTCGCTCTCGTGCTCGAGTCAGACTCGGAACGCTTTTGTATCAGGGTATTGCGATTAACCTGTATTTAAATTGGGTGATGCACATTGGAATCAAACCAGCTTGTTACTCACAGCGATAGGCGTTGCCCATATGCAACTGAGAGAGGCGACAAGAAGGACCGAAGCGTAGGGAACAGTGAGGCGCATCGACGGCTATGATGAAGTGTGCGAGTGCGAGAGGAACAGATGAACTGGAAAGAACTATATCGAATGGAGCAGGATTTTAATGGGACGGGATTCTCTTCGAGCAGGATTTTAGTCTCTCCTCTGACCAGCAGGGTGATTTAACTTTCCAGAAGTGGAGGGATATTTGAAGAAGTCAAGCGATCTTTATAACGTGGTTAAAGTGGATTCCAAAAGGAGTCCAGATTCGGGTACATTTGTACATCCAGGTTCAAGGAAAAATGGGCCGCCTTTGGCCCTCCTTACGAGAGTTTCAAGGCCGATTTTTGGTTCAATTGTGCATATCCACTGTCCAGTTCTGTCCAGCCCTAGATGGTCCTAAACCAGCTAGTCGTGACAGCGCAAGTAGAATTGAATTTGAGCAGCCCTTACATATCAAAACTTTTCGCTTCCGACAAGGTTTTCCGAAATCATTCCGAAACCACTGGAAGCTAAGTACATACACTGTTGCAAGGATCCAGCAATAATCAAGGAGACAAGAATCGAGCGAAAAGGTCATATAATTGTGTGATGAATCACTTGTTCACTACTTCCTCACACCTCGTAAAGATAAGCAGATAAGCAGACTCGATGTTATCTCTTACCGAACTTCGAATGAAGTTTCCAATTCTTCATAAATTTCGGATCTCCTTCGCTTTTGTGGACTTATGTATTCACGGAGATACGTGGACAAAGATCGGATATCGAACACCAAAGCACTCCAGAACATTCCGCTTTGCGACATTTTGAAATGATCTGGGAATGACATACTGGAGGGAGGAAGAGACAGGAAGGAGAGGAAGCTAGAGGAAGTGACTCTCTGGAAGTGAACGACTAAAGATTACACAATTGATTCTGGGGGTGGACCAAGGTATGCACTTGCAGTAGCTATGGGAAGGAAGGAAAGGAATGAGATGGTAACGTCATTCCAGAGCCTATTAAAATGGAATAGAAGAAACATATAGCGTAAGTAGTAGTCCTAACTGATCGTGCCCGTTGTCACGGCGGAACTAATGGAGGTGCATTCCTGAATTCATTTTACAATGTACGGCAAGTTTTCAGTGTTTTACGTCCTTCCTGTGTAAAAGTACGATCTAGTACGATAAGGAAAATAACTAAGATACCACATCACCAGGGCCATCTACCCTTTCACGCCACAGAACAACCCTCTTTTCGCTAGCTCTACCACCTCTTCCAAATCCCTCATATCCGCAGCCGTCCATCGCTCACCCTCAATTGCCCTACAGACAATCCCTTCCGAATCGACGCCTCGAACGCTGCCTTTCTTTTATTCAACTCCGACATCCGATGAGAGTCAGAGTGTCTAGTAAATATGAGTAGCGCAGAACGGGCGGGAGGGATGAGTGGATGGTTTGGAGGCGAGCAGAGGTTTCAAGGAGTGTGGAGGAAAGTAGTTCGGATGTAGGCTCTGTTGGAGGCGGAGGTGCGGTGGCACTACCGGGTACGCTATCAGAAGGATTAGTACGAGCAGTTACCCCTACAGACATCAAAACGATTAGTACGAAACCAAACGAAAGAGAGTCTACTCACATCCTCTAGCACCTGCCAGCCCCATCAATCTCACGAACACAAAATCATCAGACTCGACCACGTCCACGAAATTCTTCACAACCTCTTCGTCGTCCTTGCATCCCAGACACGTACTTGCCTTACTCCCATGCATCATCCCCGGATTCCCATGATCAATCACCGCGGTCCGTATCTTCTCTCCACCGGTGCCAGCAGCCCAAGACGACCTCTTAACAGCTCTCCCAATCCGCTCGAACAGCCCTTCCATATCCGCCTTAAACTCCCCAAACTCCCGTCCATTTTCAACCTTCTTCCTTACAAGCTCCATCGTCGCGCGCGCATCTTCCTCTGGGTCGTGGCCAGCCTCTCCCCAGATCTGTATTTCGCGTCCGCAACATTTTTTTGTGAGGCGAGACCGGTTTTCAGTGAGCGTCCACGGGGTGTGAATAGATCAGGGCAGTGGTAACACAATAAGTCTGCGATTTTGAGTGCTTTAAGGTCGGATTCGAGCGAATGTACCAGGAGAATCGGTGTTAGCGGCGACGAGGGAAAGGAAACGGAAGTGGTTTTTTGAACTGATTTAGGTGTGAGCAACGAGACTGGGCTGAGTAACTTGAGGACATGGGTTGGGCCTCCGAGAACGTCGTTGTTGCTGTAGCGAGCGCTTCGGCTGACCATCTGGGAGAAGATACATTAGGTATGAGATTTTGAAAGTCCAGATTCATTGATTTTTCACCCAAGCAATGACAATTTGGCGGGCCTGACGAGCCTGTCACGCACAAGGAGGTAATATTCATTGTGTGAGGTTTTATCGTTTCGGTTTCTAGACTCTCGTGCTGGAATGATATAAAAG